TAGCAGTTGACTCCCCCTGAGAATGTTCTTTCAATCTCATCCCCAGCCCACCTCTCTTGACTGCAGCAAAGGAAATTCCAGCGTCTAAAAAATTATTCCTCTTCCCAGGAAATGTCAGACATTAGGACTATGTGGAGGGACAAAGAGCTCTTCTGCTGACTCATCTTGGCAGCCAGATCAGGTCAGCTTTCTTAGCTCCAACAGAGAGCTAGAAAAGGAGCTAGGAAAAGCTGAAATGTCTGGATGGGGAAACTAAAATAAAGAAAATATTAAAGGGCTCTTGGCACAAACCAGGTGAGGTGGGAAATAGTACTTCCAATTCTTTGTTCTTACAAACATTCAAGCCACCAAGATTTGCCTCAACAGAGCTTACACATGAAGCACTCAAGAAAAGCAAAGGCACAAAGCACTGTACACCTGAGAGCTCTCCCTAATCCTTCGCACTTTTGTCTAGAAATCTGTGTCATTGAAGTGCTGGAGTGTATCCAAAGAAGGGCAACATAGCTGTTGAAGGGTCTGAGGCACAAGTCTTTTGAGCAGTGTCTGAGGGAGCTGGGGGTATTTAGTTGAGAAAAGGAGGCTCAGGGGGGACCTTGTCACTCTCTACAAGTGCCTGAAGGGAGGGTGGAGCCAAATGGTGGTCGGTCTCTTGTCCAATTTAACAAGTGACAGGAGAAGAGGAAGCAGCCTCCAGTTTGTACCAGGTGAAGCTTAGATTGGATTCTAGGAAAAAAATTCTTTCTTGAAAAGGTTGTCAAACTTTGGAACAGACTGCCTAGGGAAGTGGTGGAGTCCCCATTCCTGCAGGTAGAAGATGCAGATGTGGCACATGGGGACAAGGTTTAGTGGTGGACTTGGCAGTGCTGGGTTAACAGCTGGGCTTGAGGATCTTAAAAGTCTCTTTCAACCAAAGTGACTCAGTAATTCTATGAAGTCCAAGATACTTATACTGAAAACTATACTATTGCAGAACTGGGGAAGGGAAGGAACAGTGAAGAGGAGTGAAGAAGCACTTAAATTTGTTCCAAATCGTCTATCACAGGCTCCCTGTAAGTACCTTAGTGGCTTAGTTTTGGATGCATTTATGCAAGCGGATCTTCACTAAAGCAAGAGGTATTCCATCTCCAGGAGTAACACTGGTTTTGAACACCTTAGGTTACTTGTGGGGGCTGGATCCTTGGGTCTTTAAGCCTGGATTCAGAAAGAAAGGTATGAAACAATGTTTTACTGATTTACTTGTGGACCTTTGTGGAACCTTAACTCAGCCAGGAGCTCGATTGGTTGCTAGTATGCAAGGCAACATCAACACAAACTGTTAAGAAAGATGAGCGAGTACACAAAAATAATCTAAGAATTCAGATGAAGTAAAGAAATTCCCACTATAGAACCCAGTTCCTTCTGTTGTTTTTGCACACAGCTGTGGGAATGGCAGTGCACTCCCGAGAAAGCCTGAGGAAAGCAAAAACAGCCTGAATATTCATGGAAGTTTGTATTCTTGTGATCATTTGCACCTGAATACCATGTCCTGCCATCTCTGAATGCTCTTTTCCAGCGTGGGATTAGAACTGTGCTGAATGGCATTTAAGAGACCCAATGCACAGCACAAAGTTTCTCTTTGCAGAGAATCCATGGTACTGGATCCTGATTTTTTGTGGAAGAGCACCTTTTTAGGAAATCCTTGTCAGGTGTTTCCAGCCTTCTTGTATCTAATTAGGATTTTAATCTTGTTGCAATAGCACTGCCCAATTTCATTTACCCACAAAGCACCACAGGCAGTTCCAGTATTATAAAAATAACAACTCCTCTGATCTAAATGTACCCTGTATTATGTGTCCTGTCACTTCTATCGATTTGTGGATGTGAAAATTAACTCCTTTTCAGACTTCATATCTTGCTGCCACAGGATAATGTCAAAAGGACTCAGGAAACATTAGTTAATACCAAGTTTTGTACTCAAAGAGACAGAGTGTAAAAATTGTGACATTCAAAGATTAAGAAAACATTTTGGGTATAAACAATTAGTGGAAATACCTCAACCATTTCACTGGGAAGTATGATTCATTCTTGTTAAAATAAATTTGCTACTAGTAAATACATTTTGCTAAATCTTAACCGAAATTTACTTTTTACTGAAACACAACTTTTAGAAACAGGTATTGCATCCCACTTCTTTGGGCAAAGCTGAGACTGGGAATACTTTTGGGAAAACATCTGGATTCATTGCCAGGTGCTGGAATGACAGGCTGAGACACAGGTTAACTCAGATTCTATTTCTGTGGCCAATGGAGTTAAATCTAGCCTTGCTTCTTTTAAGAAATCTCATCACAAAACTTATTTTGAGGTGAAAATTGGTCTTTCTTTACATTTTGATGAATAGATTATAATAAGATTTTATACACCTCTTTTTTTATTATTTTTTTTGTGAAGTTTTCCTGTGTCACCAAGTATGAAACAAGAAGTTTTCCAACTTTTACAGAAGAGATGTAGTTACATTGTGCAGTATTGCAAGTGCATCTTATTCTGTTTAAGATGAGAAATGAGCAAACTTAAGCCACAAAAGCAGGCTCTTTCCATATTTTTGGTGAATGTAGCAGCTATTTTTAGTATATTTACCAAAATGTTTCCCATTTCAAACACCAGCTTTGATGAAGACAGCCTCCTTTCTATTTTAAAGCAAGTCTACTTTAAGCTCAAGGTAGCAGCTTCTGTTAAATCTTGTTAACCACAGCATCTTCAGAGAGATTTGTTTGCTGGATGGTTAGATGCAGTGATTAGAATTTCTTTAAGTACTTCCTCCTTTACCCATGAACGTGAGAAATATAATCCCAGGCGAAGCATTTGAATGAACACAGAATAGATGAGCTGGGAAGGGATCTCCAGATGTCATCTGGACCAACCCTCCTGCTCACGCAGGGCCACCTAGACCCAGTTACCCAGGACCATGTCCAGATGGCTTCTGAATATCTCCAAGAGTGATGACTCCACAACCAGTCTGGCTAAGCTATGCCAGTGCTCAGTCATCCTGACAGTAAAAAATGTTTTCTGATGTTCAGAGGGAGCCTCCTGCACATGTTTCTACCCATTGCCTTTAGGCCTTTCACTGTGATCCACTGCAAAAAGACTGGCTCCGCATTCCTTTCAGCCTCCCTTCAGGCGTCTTATATGCACTGATGAAATCCCCCTGAGCCTTCTCCAGGCTGAACAGTCCAAGCTTTCCCAGCCTTGCCTCATAGGGAAGATGCTTCACCCTTAATCATCTTTGTGGCCTTTCTTCAGCCTCTCTCCAGTGTATCTCAGTCTCTTTTGTACCAAGGAATCCAGGACTGGACACAGCGGTCCAAGTGTGGCCCCATCAGGGCTGAATAAAGGCAAAGGATCACCTCCATTAACCTGCTGGCAATATTTTGGCTAAAGCAGCCATGGATACCATTCACTTTCTTTGCTGCAAGGGCATACTGTTGGCTCAGTTCACCTTGCTGTCCACCAGGACACACAGGTTCCTTTCTGCCAGGCTGCTTCCGAGATGGATAGCCCTCAGCCTGTTGAGATAGATGGGGTTGTTTCTTCCCAAGTGTAGGACTTGGCACTTCTCCTTGCCGAACTTCCCAAGTTTCCCATCAGCTCATTTCTCCAACTCGTGGTCCCTCTGGATGGCAGCACAACCCTCTGGCATATCAGCCAATCTTTTCAAGTCTGTGTCAGCTGCAAACTTGTTAAAGGTACACTCTGCACCATCATACAGAACGTTAACGAGGATGTTACAGAGGACTGGAGCCATTATTGTCCCTGGAGTCCAGTGCTGATTACTGGCCTCCAATTAAACTTTGTACCACTCACCTCCCTCTGGGCCTGGAAACTTCATCCAGTTTTCAGCCCACCACACTGTCTGCTCTCACCACAACCTGTCTATTAGGATCTTAAGGGATGTTCCCAATACTAGATCTACAGTTAATTGCTGACTTGTCCTATTAGTGCCTTCTCCTTCTCACTGCTGGCCAAGATCAAGCCCAGCAGAGACAGCAGAAGAGCCCCTGGGATAACAGATTAAGAAGGGGTGTGTAGGGGGGGTGGGAAATGGCACCATTTCAGCCAGAGAGAGGGATGAGAACATGAGAGAAACAGCCCCACAGACACCAAGGTCAGTGTAGGGGCAGGAGGTGCTCCTGGCACCAGAGCAGATTCCCCTGCAGCCCCTGGTGCAGCCCATGGTGAGGCAGCTGTGCCCTGTGCAGCCCATGGGGATCCAAGGGGGAGCAGAAATAAAGCCTGTGAAGGACCCCACCCAGAGCACATGGATGCCCGAAGGAGGCTGTGACCCAGAACAGGTCCCATGGGGACCCATGCTGGAGCTGTCTGTTCCTGAAGGACTGCATCCAGTGTAAGGGATCAATGCTGGAGCAAGTCATGAAGAACTGCAGCCTATGGAAAGGACTCACATTGGACAAGTTCTGGAGAACCGCCTCCCAAGGGAGGGGCCCATGCTGGAACAGGGTATGTGAGGAGTCAATCCCCTGAGGAAAAAGAAGCAGCAGAGACAACATGTGAGTAACTGAGCACAGCCCCCATTCCTTGTCCCTCTGCGCTGCTGGGGGAACGAGGTAGAGCAAATTGGGAAAAAATTTAAGCCCAGAAAGAAAGGGGAGGGGTGGGGTGAAGGTGTTTCAGGATTTAGGTTTTACTTCTCATTACCCTACTCTGATCTAAGCAGATTTGAAAGGGAAATGATAAAATTGCACTCTGATCTCCCAAGGTTTACACCATAATGGCTGACAAGATTGAAAATAGACTACCCAATACTGTCACGTGACGGCAAGGCTAAAAGGAAGGAAAACATAGGCCACGGAATTAAGACACGTGCAGTAAATCCTAAGGTGAAAGGCTTTGAGAAAGCTGTTTGTATTTGAAAATTTTAGAATAAGGTAATTTCTAAAAATATTTAAATAAAATCATTTATGAGAACACATTAATCCAGGAAAGGCCAAAACCAAAACACAAACATTCAGTATGAAGATATTTTTTTACAATAAAAATTCTTCTAGGAAGTATATTAAATATGACAAGAGGGGAAAAAATAGCATCTCACAATGTATATTCAAGGGCATCACATTTTAGAACAATGTCTTAGCCATTTATAAATGATTCACAAAGAAATTAAATATGCTATTCCATAAGAGAATAATCTAATTTACAGTTGAGATGTAAGGCTTCACCATAACATCTCATACCCTTCACCCGGATCTTTGCTTACCCAAGTTGAGTGATCTGTACTTACTCTCTTACCAGAGTAACAGAGCATGATGGTCCTCAAACACACAGGTAGTGTTCAGGTTTGCTTTTTAAAGTTCAACAAAAAAGTATTACTAGAAAAATTCTAAATTTTTTTGGTCACAATAAAAGCAAATGAAAAGCTAGAAGAAACAGATAAGTTGTATTTGCTAGTCTAAGTTTGAGGGAATGGATTAACCTACACCTTGCCAAAATAAAATGATCTAGCTGCTAGTTATGCCATTGTATTATTAGTCATTGTGCACAACTGGGACACCACAACTCCAAATCACAGACTAGAAACACAGTGTATCTTTTAAAGAAATTACATTATTTCTGTGAGAAAAAGGCTGGGGGGAAAAAGTCAGGAGAACTACCCGTCTCCATAGCTATCATATGCATAAGAACTATTTGCCTTACAGAGCTCCAGTTTATTCAAAATACTGAATGTAATACTGACAACAGCAAAATCTCTTAGTCTTCTTATGCATCAAGTACAAATCAGAGAAAAACCCTGCCCCAAAACACTCATTTTCAACCACAAAACAATGCCAGAAAACTCTTATTTGCAACACATTTACCTGGTGTTGCAGTTAACATATTTATTCTGCAGACAACAGTCACAAGTACTTACTAAAAATACAGATATGTTTCCTAAAAATAAAGTGAGGCTTCAAGATGACAAAGCTTTTGTAACAGTGCAGGGTGCAAATTCTCAGTATGAAGACATTCAGAAGATTTGCTGCTCAAAGAGGATCTTTTCAAACCCGGGTGGAGGTGTATGATAAAATTCACTGAACTGACAATCCAGAATGGCACTGTCATCAACTGCAGAAGAAAACCAAAAAGAAGGAATTAGAGAAGAAACACTTACAGTCTGATCCTCTTTTACACCATCTTAATAGACTGTGCTCAAACCACAAAGAATTTCTTCAGTACATCCATTACATACACAGAATTAAAAGAAATCTCTTCAATGAATTTGGTAAGGCCTTATGCCAGGAGAACAAACTATCTCTCTTCTCTGCTGTTTACTTGGTTAATGGCTCCTTGGTGAAGTCAATGAGAATGCCTAATTTCACTGGGAGTGTTAGCAGAGCTTCAGGCTATTGATTCCAAATTTTCTACTCCATTTCTCCAGAAATACACAGATTATGGTTGCTACCAGATAAACCTTGCAGGGATGTCACCTCTTCATGTGCATATTTTTCTGTTCCTAATTCTGCTGTCTACTGTGGATTTCTGGAGGTTTACAATGTTTCACATGTCTGCAGTGGTTGGTATCAAACCATCAGTTTTAGCATATGATCCAAAGAGAGCTTCTTGAAGCTGGAAGTTAATGTGTTTTTTTTACAGAGCTTCTCCCAGTTTTTGACTCCCTGCATAATCTACCCACCTGCAACAGCACTTTCAATGTAGAATGTAAAGAAGAAGCTGCTGAGTATTTTCAGAGCAACACTTTTGTGTACTTCACTAGCAAACTGAAACACCCATCTAGTCAGAAAAGCAAGGTCTCTTTCAAAGACAACTTCTGAGATGAACCCGTCAGACTATCAACATTAGTTCAAACAAGAGAAACTTTATCTCTGTATTTAGGAATTTAGCTATCTCAGAGACAAGGTCAGAATTTTTTCCCACATAGGCTTTGTGAAAACTCCTATCAGTGTGTTTGTACAGTTCTCTAGTGCTTATGCAGTGTTTATGTCTTGCTTCCATGAAAGTGCCTGAGGTACAGCTGCTGTAGGGAATAACCTTTATGCCCATTTTTTTGTTTTATTTTCTCAAGCTTGACACTGTGCTTGCCTGACCTATCATGGTCCTTTTAAAAAGATACCTATAGTTCTACTCTGAATAGGGTAAATGTTTGAGAAACTCTCCTCTCTGTGGTCAAATCCTTCCACAGGACTAAAAGTTCACGTTAAATTAAGGACACTTATAATTGAAATTTATACCAAATAAGTAGTGTACAAAAACAACCTGCAGGCTTCAAGTTATAGCTATATGTAGGAGACATGGTAATTATGATTAAATTATGCCCACTTGTGGAAGAAGACAAAAAGAGCCAGGCAACAAAAGGTCACTGCATTCCCCAGGCACGGAACTTCTTTGGTCAGAGAAAAAAGATTAGCAGTTGGCTAACATGTCACCAAGTATTTTCTGAAAGCAACCTTCATTCTTCATGCTGTGTTAGACCCCTTCCAAAACAGGGGGAAGATGCAGCCACACAGCAACTCTTGTGCTGCTGTTCATGGAGATTCGGCACGAGTTGATCCCGCCGAGCTGCCACAGCATTTTAGCAGCGCCATCACGTGGCTGAACGACACATCACAACTTGACCAGATAAAACGTCCCACCCTTACGGCTTGGAAGCAAGTAATTCACCAGCTACATTTATAGACTTCGAAGACTCTACAACACATCTGGAGTATTTTCCTCCTCTTCATAAAATTCCGCATCAATCAAAATGTATCAAGATATAAATGGGAATATGCAATGCCATTATGAACAGTTCATTAGGAACCCACCATGAAATTAAAAATTATCCCCATCACATAGCTAATGGTTATGCTGAAGACCAAGATGATTTTGGCTACTACTTAGATGAGGCTCAGATAAATTGAAGATGGAGTTCCTGGAGCAGATCCAGATGATGGTGACAAAGATGATGAGGGGAACGGAGCATCTTTCCTATCAGAAAAGGCTGAGGGAGCTAGGCCTGTTCAGTCTTGAAAAGAGATGACTGAGAAGGGACTTCCTCAATGTCTATGAGTAAGTGAAAAGGAGGTGCCAAGAGGGTGGATCCAGGCATTGCTTGGTGGTGCCAAGCAATAGGACAAGCAGCAGTGGGCAGAAACTGCACAGGAAGTTCGAGAAAATGCAAACAACAATTCTATTGCTATGTAACACTGAAGGCATTTATGATGTGAAATTAAAAGGCACAAGTATCAAGCTTCATAGATAAAACAGATTAACCCACAAGTCTGCCATCTGCTTCATACTTTTTTTACCTGGCACTTTTAGACTGAGTGCAGCAACTCCTCAGCTTACTGAATGTGGATACTAAGCAGTTAGTAAGTAGTGCTTTTTTTCCTATTAAACAGCATTAAAAATTAGGCAAAAATATTCTTTTGTAATTTCCTAGGTTTGCATTTTCATATAATTAATTGTTGTAGTTGCCAAGAATAGATGATTGATGTGTGTTTCATTTAAGTGAGAAGAATACACAGCTCACAAAACAGAACTGGAATGAAAATATTTTCCATAATGTGAAAATCTCTGACTTACCGTAGACCACTGGATAGACAGTCCCCCTGATTCCTGAAGCTGGACAGTGCATGTTCTTGCCATTTAAATATACATTTAATTCTACATGGTCATATGTAATGCCCTAAAAAGTACAGAAAATTAACAAAAAAAAAAAAGAAGCATCAACAAGTTTATATGCATAAGACTGTTACTTCACTTTAGCCACAGGCAGATTTTAACACCATTATGCAAACCACAGCATCCTAGACAAACTCACTTGACATATTCCTGCCAAGGACTAGAAGTTAATAAAAGACCAGTAACATCCATATTTTCAAACACTCAGGATTCCTTAAGGCCTGTTCAACTGAGATGCAGCACACTACTGCTCAGTATGCTTTGCATCTTACTGAGTTTACAAAACAAATTTCTACACTTCACCATGTTAAAAAAACATAAGGTGTTCAATGATTTTGAGTATGAAGCAGTTTGAAATCTTCTTGTTTGTATCTTCTCACAGAAATAACTTTTAATGATGCCACGAACTGAGTTCATCCTTCCATACCTCCAGATGGATACCTCTCTCAGTTCATTTACTCTGCTGGCAGCAACACACCATGGTTTCACACACAATGCTATAAATATGCTGACTACAGAGCAGAAAGCAAACACTAACAAGATAGTAACTTAAGATTACTTATCTGCTAGCTAAAGGACTTTTCTCACTGCTTTGGTATGTTTCATGACAGAACAAAATAACTTGATGTTTATGGAAAAGGGGGAGTTAGCAGTAACACATCAGTCTGGGTTTTTTTGTGATTAGTTGAAGCTGTTCAGACCACGCTAGTTCACCAAACCCTGAAGCAGACTGCAACCCATCAAAAAACAGTTTAAAAGAACAGTATTGTATCAGAGGGTAAAGGGTACAGATCTCAACCTTAGCTGTTTGGGGCTTCTAAAGATGGCATTTCTAACCACGGCTATAGATAGGCCAGTTACCCAGCATGAAAAAGTGGGGGTGATAAATGGTATCAACTTCATTGCATTGCTGTCATTACTTTTGAAAATATGTAAGAGGACATGGAGAAAATGACAGTACTAAAAAAATACTTTGTTCAAAGTCACTTAAGGATGTTTTGAGAAACCTGAAATAGTAAGGTACAAGAAAATGAAATTCTCTCTCAATCATTTTTCCAGTGAACATTCCCCCTCCCCACTTAATATCCCCACAAACTACAAAAGTTCAGCTAAAAATACAATTAATTTATCACCCAGGACCCATCTCTGCTCCCCTCTGTCCTTCTAATCATTAACCAGTTAGCTAAGGGACCTTGAGTTCAGCTGGGCATGGTGCATAGCCATGTAATGCATTCCAGCACATTGTTTGTTCAGGAAGGTCCCATCTCAAATAACGTAAGATCCTTGTGATGGGAGTTGTCAGTCAGATAGATCCTGCAATATCTGCAGATACTGCAATATCAGAAACTATTTCTCAAACTCTGGTCAAGTCCATCCCTCATTAGGAACCCACCAATACCAAGAGTGAAGTCCACACATATCCAGGCTGCTGATCCATTCAAAGTCAGAAGGAATTTAAATCCCAGCACTTTCCAAACCGGGAGATGCAAACTGAACAATTTGACTTAAAACAGTCAGTTTGACCTTTGAGCTGTAAATAAGAGACATTTGGGAACAGGTGAGGAAGCAAGCCTTAAGAAACTCACCACCACATCACCTTCCTGAGGAAGGTTGTTTGCTGGTAGCCTATTTTTCTCCTCATTGTTATAGTAAAGAGCTCCATCATTTCTCATCACCAGGCTGTGGACATCTCGACCAAGGGGAATTTGATTCAAGTTTGCTTTCTGCGTTGCAACTCCAATACCCCAAATCCCTAAAATGTGACATTAACACAGTAAGAAAAAAAAAAAGTTATTTTGAAGACTGAAACAGGACAGATAAAGAATTTGTTTTTTAAATTAATGCCATGATGGTACTACCAGTAAATATCTCCTGTGAATATCAGAAATATTGTAGGTTAGCTCTGCTAGCTCTAGCAGCTGAGCACCATCCAGCCATTCTCTCCCCTCTCTAAGCCCCCATGGAATGGAGGAAGAGGAAGGGAAGAGTAAAACCTAGAAAACTTGTGGCTAAAAATAAAAACTGTTTAGTAAGTAAAGCAGAAGTGAAAGAGGCAACAAAACTAAGTGATGCAATGGCAGTCACTAACCACCTCCCATGGGTAGACTGATGCCCTGTCAATTCCCAAGGAAAAGATGGCTAATCTCCCTAAATCCCCTCCTGTCCTAAACAAGACAGGTGTTACGTGGTATGGAGTATCTCTTTGTTTGGGTCATCCACCTGGATATGTCCCCTCACAAGCTCTTATGCAACCCTAATTGTATTCACTGGAGGGGCAAAGTGAGAAACAGAGAAGGTTTTGATGCTGTGCAAACCCTGCTCAGCAACAGATAAAATATTGGCGTGTTATCAGTATTGTTTTTTTATCAGTATTGCTTTGGTCACAAATCTAAAACACAGAATCATAGCAGCTGCTATGAAGATAATTAACTTCATCTTGATCAGACCCAGCACAAGCAGCCACAGTAGACTGAAGACAAACAGCATCTATCTTGAAAAAGAAGGATCCCTGAAAAAGAGAATTGTAACCACTCAGCTTAACTTTTATTCCCAGAAAAATACTGAAAACAAACTCTGAGGCTGTAGGAGGATACAAAAAATAAATACAACTAGCATGGATATGTAAACAACAAATTTTCCTTTTTCAGCTAGTTAGACTAGTCTTGTGGAAAAAAATAAAGTGTTAATATTATAGATCTTGATATTATTTTTGAAACTCATACAACACTGAAATAGTCAAATGATGAAAACATGGTCTAGACAGTTACAGAAATACGAAGGCACGAGTGGTTAGAAAACTATTCCAGGATTACTCATCAGTAGCATCCTGTCAAATCAAAAGAGATGACTCAAGTGGGGTTTGAGGTTTTGCATTGAATGCACAAGGTCAGATACTGTTCTGTATTCCCATCAATTAGTTGCATAACTTGACAATGAGTTGATTAAATGCGTTGCCAATCTCAGCCTGACAGGACTGCAAGCTCTTGACAGGCCCCTTGAGTTAAAAGTGATCCTCACTAACTGGTTAGAAATAAAGAAAGCGCATCTGTTTTCACTAAATTATGAAAAAGAGCAGGTAAGTAAGAACACTAAGTGGCACAAGTACAGTAGTGGCTTGGTAACCAGTTCACAGACCACTTGCTGAGTGCGAGTGCGCCCTACTGCTGTGGAAAACTTCTGGATGTGTGGCACATATAAAACAGATGAGGTCATCTACTGTTGCTGCAGCTGAAGCAGAGCATCCATTTTAAGCACTGTACCTCAAAACAGATTAGACTGACTAGAGATATTGTAGAAAAAAACATAAAACCAATCAAAAGTGTAAAAACTTTACCTATAAGAAGACAATAAAAAAAACCTCAACAAGCTGGGGCTGTTTAGACTAGAGAAGACTAAAATGAGGCAAAAATGTAAGAAACTTATATTCAAAAGATGAAACTGTAGAATAATTTACTCTCATGCTAAGAATGAGAAGGACAAGTGAAATTTGACTTCAGAAAACTTTACAATGGTCAGGATGACCTCACAGACAACCTCCACTGGACTGTGCAGGGACACTTCTGGAAATCAAAGATTTACTTTATGTCTTTTAGAGTTCTCCTGCCTTGGAGCACAGGAATAGAGGAAAAAAGGCTCACAGGGACCATGAGAGTTTATTTCCTGTGTTTCTCAAGTGTAAGAACATGGATACGTATCTATGTGAATAGCGACCATGTATGAACACCACCTGCAATGGGTTCTTCCCAACGTAAAGGCTAATAAAATTGCCAATTTAAGATGGATATGGGCTTACATGTAGCTTAAAACTAACCAGCTAGCTGGACTGCAAGGTGTTATTGGCAGATCTGTGTTCATGGTGCCTGTACTCCCACCCACCTGAAGGCAAACAACTCTTACCCAAAAAATGTCAGCATCAAGCTCCAGCTGGTAGGTAAGGCCTGCCTCTGGACTAGCACTTCCCTTCTTCTTCCTTCCCCACACACACTTAGAGAAAGCTCAGCTTCATTTTCAGAGCATCTGCTAGCAGCTTTTAAAAGTACAGGCTGATTTTTCATGCTAGAATACAAGCAAGCCTGGAGTGCTCTCTTTGATACTGAAGCTGACCATATTTGTAGGAGCAAAATAAAGGAACAAAGTGCTGAAAGGCTCCTCTGGATAAGGAAGTGTCAGAATAAGTAGTGCTTCACACTTGATCTGAATAGCAAAGGGTAGCACAAGGAGCATTACCCTTGCTTGGGCAAACAGTGCCTACTAAGAGCAAGTAAGAGTAGACAAATAGATACAAATACCACTGGATAAACTGCACTCCTTTAAAAATACTCGATAGCTACAGTGTTTTATGGGGTCATAAGCATTTATTGAGCAAAAATAATTTCTAAAATATGCCACCTGAAAAACATGGCTATAACAGCATACAAAACAATGTAGGGGTTTAGTATTTGCACTCCTCTAGTAATACACTTACTATTATTCTTAATATTTTAGAGTAAAAATTAAAAAAAAGGAAAAAAAAAGTATTTCCTTTCACACAGTAATTTATAAATCTCTCTAATATTCACAAGTTTAAGGATGCAATTAGAAAGATGCACGTGCCAAGCATTTGAGATATTTCCACCAGCAGGCAAGTTTAAAGTTGTATATTTTTTTGCTGACTAACCTGTGGACTGGATTTTAAACTCGAAATAGCTCTTGTTCTGATGCAAAGGTGCATTGGCTAAGCAGCCTCCCGTGCCACATATTCTTCTGCCATTCTTAACAATGACGACATCTGTTCCTGCAAGAAAAAAAAACCCACAGAACTTCAAAACATTTTTAGAAATCTGAAAACAGCCTCAAAAGCTCTAAACATTGTAAACAGTTTTTGCTACTTCTGCCCCAAGTAAAAGCTTCATTAGTCTGTGAAAAATATGATGATGGGCCTTGCTTTGAAGCAAGAGAAGGAAGGTTGTTTACAGAGTAGTTCATCTTTCCACTAGGGTATATTCATTTAAGATCTATAAGCTGATCTAATTTTCACCTCTTGGGCTTTATGGCACCATGCTGATTACAACCTTTGCTTAGCCACATCAGAAGCATAACTTACAATTTAGTCAGAAAGGGTTCACTGTGAGACCAAAGCCCTGAACTCTGTTCTCTAACATCGGAGAAAAAGCATTCTGCAACAAAAAGGAAAAGCATATCGGGTAGAAATGATTGATGGAATTGCAAGGCGTTTAGTTAGTCTCTGAAATAGTCCTTCTATTAGAAATGTGCCTGCCAATACAGAGAGAAAAAAAATCCTCGGCTAAATTTTCCTTCTCCATTGGACGACTTCATCCTTAGGCACTGTTGTTGTCCTCCCAAGCACATGGGATGCTGTGGCTAACAATTGTGCTCGAGCACTGGACCGTACCTATTCTTTCCCAGCCCTTTCCCCACTCTGCTGCTGCTGGCCCTGAACCCTCCTCTCCCCAACAAAGCCCGGGCACGGTTCTGTGGGTAGCTCAGGCTAAGGGTGATTCTCAAAAGAGCAGGACAAGACTGCATGGCCTGGCTCCTTCTTCATCTCCACTGCCCTGACTGGAGGTGGAGTCTCCGTCCCTGGAGAGGTTTAAGGAACGGCTGGACGTGGCACCTGGTCTGGCTGACATGGTGGTGTTGGGTCACAGGTTGGACTCGATGACCTCAGAAGTCTTTCCCAACCTCAAAGATTCTGTGGTTCTGTGAACTCAGCCCCTCGCCTCAGAACCACCCCTGCCCACCCTGCTCACGACAGCCCCCCTCGGGCACCTCACACACTCATTGTGCCGATCAACTGCACTTAAACCCGAACTGCTTTAAGCCACTTTTTAAACCAAGCTTCCTTATTTTTCTTTTCCCTTAAAACTACCAATTCCTGCTAAAGAAGTAGCCCCAAAACGACTTTCCCAGCGGTTACCCCCGTGCCGCGCCCTGGGGCTGCGGCCCTGCCCGCCGGGGAGCCGCCCGGCGGCAGCAGCGGCCCTGCCCCGCTCACCCATGCGCTGCGTGTCCAGGTGCACGGCCGGCATCTCCTTGAGCGGG